GTTCGTTTATTGTTACAAAATTTATTGCCAACAAGTCACAGACACCTACTGTAAAAGAATCCCAGCCCACATATTCTAAACCCTGACAGCACGGTTAGTAACCAATATGATCACCTAGATTACCAATTTGTTTTACGAGTAAAGCCACATAGGCTATCTGCTGTGTCCACCATGGGGAATCAAACCTAGGATTTTAGCATTGTAAGTCCGTAAACATACACCCACCTCCCAGTGGACAGGATATTAACCATGACAATGATCGATACCTGATCAGTACTTATCTTTATCACTTAAAATATGAATATATAGTTTTCATAATTTAACTTGTGTCTACATAAATGTATGTATATAAACAAAATATACTATTTATACTTTTATGATTGAACTCCAAAAGAAACCATACAAAACTACAACAAACAATGAGTTATGAAAATTGAAATTTTGTATTTTTCCAATTCTACTAAAAGTTGACATTAATAGATCTAAATTGAAATGAAACTTGAATTGTATAATCATTGTTTTATCATATATAAGCTTAATACTTTCATCTACCTGTGAAAGTAAAAATCAGTACATGCAATACCAGATTCATTTAGACAAACATGATTCAACAGTCCTAAGTAACTTGTTTTGTTTTTAATTTTGCATAAAGCTACACGAGGGCCATCTGCGCTATCTGTCCCTAATCTAGCAGTGATAGATTTTTTACCAACGAGTAGGGAGATTGACCATCACATATAATGCTCACACAGCTGAAAGGGCGAGCATGTTCATTGTGATTGGGATTCGAACCCCATGCTTGTTTCTTTCATATTATGTTCCTAACTTTAGCAGTGTAAAATTGATAGTAAGTTATCTAGAATATTTTTGTATGATTTGACTACAGGAAAATAGATTGCATTAATTCTGACACTTCCCTTAAAAGGTTTTATTACTCTTCAACCTTCAAGAACAGCCATAACACTGGAAAACAGGTAAAAATCAATAGAAATTTGTGTTGTGAACTACCTAATACCATGCCACAAAAATAGTACAAGTTGATAAAAACATTATCTACCTCTTTAGAATATACTGTATATTCTATCCGGTATAAGCTTCAGTCTTATGCTTAGTCTATAGTTGGTTTCGTTAATAAAGTGAAACTGCCGAGATAAGCCTCCTCCCCATTAATTTTACTTTACAATATGTTTTAGTTATTATTCATGTGAATAACTTAGTTTTTCATTGTAGCTTCCACACTGTCCTTTGCATAATAATTTTAAGCTCTTCAGTCATAACATTTATTTAATAAAAATACACGTGCACACTAAAGTTGTTAATGAAGTAAATCTTAAACCAAAATAAAATAATGATCGGAATAAGATTTTATTGCAAATGCATGTTTTACAAACTTCAGATGACCTGTACAAAGTTAAATGCCACAACTAAAATATAAAATTATTTTGCTTTAGAAAATAAAATATAGAAATTGTTATTTGACTGGCAGATCATTTAAAGAAATAAATTATGTATTTGGGTTCCAATAAGATCATTCTCTACAATGATCTCCATGTATCATAAATAGAATACAGATAAGTTTCAGATTTTATGGAATACTTATTGCCCAATATTTAGAAACTGCAGAAAACTGCCAATATTTTTTCTAGATGGAGTTGGAGTGAACAGACCAATCATACTTCAAGATGGTTATCTGTTAAGATGTGTATCATTATTAACAGATTCTGCTAATTGGTGTTATCTTTAATTATAGGTCCTGCTAGCATGTCCTCAGTAAAAATTTGGCTAACAGGTTTACAGTTCCTAAGTGTTGTCACAAGTTATGCTAATGTCCTGTCAGTCAGTTCTTAAACACAGTCATTTGTTATAATTCTTACAATATTTGTCACTAATTATACTTCTCGCTAGTGTTTCATTTGTTACCGTTCTTGTTAAACACATTGTCATCAAGTATAGTTCTCATTAGTTTCATTTCTTACCATTCTTGCTAAACATGACATCATTCTTGTTAGAATATTTTCAATTGTTACAGTTCTTAGTAAACATGTCATCAGTTATAGTTCTTAGTAGTGTTTTCATTTGATTCATTTGTTGTTAAAGTGTTTTAGCTGTTATAATGCTTGTCAAAATACATAGTCATGCATTTAAATTAAAAAACTGGTGCTGGTAGCAATTTTAATTCTCTAGACATTTTGACAAGAAACATATTATCAGTGGTCTTACAATTTCATTTTGTTAATCATGACAGCTTATAGTGTATTTCTGTTCAGCCTTTGGTTGGTAATAATCTGCACTTGCTTCTTATTCTGAAAAAAAAAACCTCTCCAAGAATTTTTTTTTATATCATCAATCTGGATGTAACAAGCACCTTGAACTACTCTGAATATAAAGAGAAAAGTTGTGAGGTTCTGGTGTCCTGCAGTACTAATTAAGCAGACACAGTCCCTTCTACTGCTGAGGAGTCTACATCATTTCCCTGGGAAACTAAGCCCTGAAAAAGTAAAGGTATCTTAGTATCAGATCATAACTAAGCACCCAATTATTTAAACCTTTTTATTAAAGTATATTAAAATAAAACAAACTGTTCCATATATACTAATCTATTTTTTATTGGAATTATTATAATGCATAAATCAACATTGTTAATGCTGATTAACAAAAAAATCTTAACTTTTAAAGATTTTTACATAACATTTCTTACAATAAGAATAACTACATCAATTGAAAACATTCAGACTGCTCTGTAGTTTAAAATATAATATCAATAATGAAAATCATTATAATCTGAAAATATAAAGACACGGTTAAAAATTCTTTTAAGATAAAAGGATTAAATGGTAGGCATTTTAATTAAATAATTTTTATCATATCTCAACATTTATCACTAGACAACCAAAGCATAACTACATCTACTGACAGACAATAATGAGGAATTCCTATTAACCATTCCAATGATGGAACTGAACAGAAAATGAATGAATGGTTTGATTATGACTACTAAAGGCCCAAGATGACTTCATCCAATGGGAACAAGGAATTTGGTGGCAGAAAATATTACACAAAAGAAAGAAGTTGTCAGAGAACAGAAGTAAGAATATTATAAAGAATAAGCACATATATAACCCATCACAATGCCTAGACAACATATCAACATACCCAGTGGTGGGATTCAAATATTTTAACAACAGGTTCTCTCACTAGCAGCATGTAAAAATATTAGATATTAAAAAAAGGAGGGGCCAGAAAGCCCCCCCCATCACTGAGAAAATAAAA